GACTCAATGGGCATGAGTTTGAGTAAACTCTGGGAGTTGGTGATGGACAGGGAGGCCTGGCGTGCTGCGGTTCATGGGGTCACAAAGAGTTGGACACGACTGAGTGACTGAACTGACTGACTGAGGTACTCCAGAGATGACTTAAAGTATATGGAGGATGTGCATAGGTCAAATGCAAATACTACACTATGCTATAGAAGTGATTTGTGCATCTGTGGATATTCCAAGGTGGGGTGGTGGTGGTGGTGGTCCTGGAGCCAATCCTGTGAGCAAAGAATGATGAGGGACAACTATAAACCCTAGTTATTGGTCATTAGGGTTGTTTCTAGTTTTTCACTGTTGTAAATAATGCTGTAATGACCATCTTTAAATATGGAGCTTATCCTCAGTAAGAATTAGTTCCTAAGGATATTTTCTTAGGAGTTACTAGGCAAAAGGTTTGAATATTCTTAGGGTTCTATAGACATTTTGCAAATTATTTTCTCAAGGCTGGCAATGATTTGTATCCCTCACCTCCACTCCCCAACAATATAGGTAATTGTGATTTTTTAAAAACAGTCCTGAAGAGACTTTCTTTTTTAACAAGCCAAAGTTGTATTTGTTTTCTTAAACAGGAAAATTATGTTAATATAAAACAAATAAAAACAGACAAAAATCAAAACACACAACACGCAAAAGCACAACACACAGGACCAGTGCAAACCCTTCCCAACCCACTGCCCTCAGGTTTTGAAACCTTTATTACAGATCCCCGAAGATTAGTCTGTGTTGGAGGGTCACAGTATTCAATCAGAAAAATAAGAAACAAGACATTTTTAAAAAGGTCTGTACACAGGTAGTAGAGGGGTGGGATGGGGAACATACACTTCTTCACTCCAACATCAAATACACAAGGCCGAAGTTTCAGTGATTACCACAGATTTCTAGAACACTACCATGTATGCTAGTCCCTAGCCCACTTTTTAAAGTTGCTCTTAAAAAGGATTAAAAGTGCACGGACACTTTCATAAGGCACGGACAGATTGTTGTACAAGTCATCTCTTTAGACGGTGAGACAATTAGACACGGAGAGAGGCCGCGTGTTCCTGAGCCAGAGCCTCTCTGCCAGAACCGGGGCAGAGACCAGAGTGAGCGGCGGAAGGAGACTGCCTCTCATTTGCCAACTTTGTGCACTCCTATTCTGGAAATGACGGGGTTCCCTGAACACTTGGGGATTGATCTCTAGCCACCAGTCCCAAGGCCTGAAAGTAGCAGGTAGCTCTCTCCCCACATCTCCCTCCCTGGCAAGGCCTGAGGGCCATCATTAGTTGGTGGGGCTCTTAACGGTTCTGCCAAAGGCCATTTCAGCAGAAGTTTGCTGACTGTAAGGTGTCTGGCATTCCTAATGCAGAGAAGGGTTTCTGAAGTGTGTGGGGGTCTCTGGGTCTGGAAAGCAGTTGTGTGCTAAGACAGACCCCCAAGGCAACAGAACGGCCAAGAGAACCCTCGAACTCTGCCCCAAATGTCTCATGATGTCCTTTCCTCTGACGTCAGAGCTGGGGTCCTATCCCTCACTTGGTCCTCCTCGCACTCCACAGGTAATAGATGCTTAGCACATGTTCACTGAATGACTCTGCGTGCATGTGTACATGATGTTTTACCAAATCCTTGAACACTCATAACCAGATCTCTGGACTGCTCAGGAAACCTTTAATGAATACCTACTATGTGCCATCACAGGACCCAGCGCTGGACAGGTCAAATACAAGTCTGCAAATCTGTCCACCTCCTGCTCTGTGCCATGTGCTGCCTGCAGGCTCGTCTTTAGACCCAGTTCCCGTGCCTATCTACAGAACACAGGCCCTGCTGACCAGGACTTGTGGATGGCTGAAAGTCTTGTTACACTTCAGGGAGCAGCTGCCCCAGGTAGCTAAATCCCAGGAGACTCCCAGTTCCAAGAATGGGCTAGACAAAGGAGTTTATCTTGACTTGGAAACAGCCAGATTTCTCTGGTGACACCAGATCACAACAAAGGGGGCATCTTCCGGTCTCCCCTCCCCTCCCAGGGGGCCCTGCTTTAAGAGGGTGGTGGTCACAGGGCCCAGGAAGGTGAATGGGACATGGCTCTCCCCCAGGTTGCCCCAGACGGGTGCCCGCATGTACTAGGAAGAGGCCAGGAGAAGGTGGCAGTGGGCAGATGAGCCTGAAAGGACATGGGTCTTCCCAGGCTTCGGGTGGCCAAGAGGCGTCAGTCTGGGGCTGGAACCCTCACACAGGAGCACGTGCCCGGCTCTCTCCAGGGGCTGCCCAGGCGAGCTTGAAGGAAGAAAACTCAAGCAATTTCTTGAGCTTTCTGGACCTGGGGAGAGGCAGTGGAGAGTGTGGGATTCAGCACCAGGCACCACCAGGCTTGAAGCCCAGTCCTGCCACCTCCTGCTTCACTTTGTGGTCCTCAGTTTTCTCACCTGCCAAATGGGGTAATAGCAGATCCCACTGATTCTAAAGAACACAGCTTTTCTATGTAACTTGTCTGAATAAAATGAATTGTATAGCTGTGGCACCTTAGAGTTAAAATTGGCAGTGTTTTTCCCTTAGTGGCACACAGAACGGTGTGTTTTATAACCGGTGGTGTCTTCAATGTGGTAGTGAAGACCTGCCTCGCAGGATTGGCATGGGGACGCACCTCCCCAGTGCCATGCAGGGCACACAGGGCTGCCAAATAAAGGACCATGGTTCCCGTCTCTTTCCTCCTGCCCCTTCTCCAGACAGAACCTAGAGGGCAGTGTGGGCAGCTTCTCTGCAGTGCTGAATATATCGGTTTAGAGGAAACGTCTAAACACCCCTTTAACTCCTCTTGGAAATGGGGATGCTATTAACAGCGGCTGCAGAGCGAGCTCTCCAGGCCACGAGCTCCCTCCTTCCCAGGAGACAAGTCGCCAGGCACACGTCCTGGCCCGCCCTGGGTCCAGGCCCCGGACTGCTGGATTCTGGCCACGGCTGCACTGAGCCAGGCCGGAACCCGAGGTGACAGGAGGGAGGCGCTGGCTGCAGAGACTCCCGGGGCTCAATCCAGGCGGGGGAGCTGCTGCCTGGAGAACACCAGCCCGGGGGGGTGATGAGCCCTCTCCTGGGGCCTGTGCATGGCCTTGCCCACACCCAATACGAGGGGGAAGAACTCAGCTGACCAAATTCAGCTGGGCACTGAGCACTGCCTAGGTTTGCAAACTCTTAATTTGGCAAATGGTGGAGTGTCAGTTGCTCCCCTGAAGGTTCTGCTGTGAAATTAAAATCTGGGTGTAGTTCCCAAGTTCACGAGGGGGGAAAAAAAAACCAATCAGGGATTCCTGCAGGGGCAAGAGGAGGGTTTCTAAGCTGAGAGCAGGTCAGAATAGCGAAGAAGCAGATAGTCCAAGACCCGGAGCACCACAAGGGCATGGACTGACTGGCCTTATGAGACTTGATCTACAGAAGGGGCCTCCAGACACCCAGCAAAATGTGTTAGATGAATGCATAAACTCTGAATGTCCTCCTTTCCTTGTCTTCCTCAACAGATGAGCAGATTAGGAACTGGAATAAAAATACCTGTTCTTCACAAGGTGTCTTGGACTTTGTAGAATGTTGTGCTGGTCCTCCCAAGAGCTCTGGCGTGGGCAGGTGCTAGGCTTCTTCTTGGACAGATCGGGAAGTGGGAAACAGAGAGGCTCGGGGCCCTCTCTAAAGACACAGCACAAGACAGGGAAGAGGTGGGGCCCAGACGGGAACTGCAGGCCTGCCAACGATCTGGGAGTCTGCAGAGATGGGTCCGGGCAGGGGTGAGGGGGTAAGGGAGGGGAAGCAGGGCCAGGGACCTAGAAAACGCCCAGCAAATTGCCCTGGGGAGGGGGAGAGTCACAAGGTCAGCATTTTCAGAGAGTATCTCAGTTTCTAGCTAACATCCTAATGATCAGGTAACATCTCAGTAATCAGCAGGGGAAGATGAGCTGAGAATCAGAACAAAGATGGTGGCAAAGCCACGCTTCCGCCGTCTACTTGGCAGCAGGTCACCTTGGTGATGCTCACAGCTGCTGGCGAATGCCAGGCCTAGCATTTCAGCAGGAAAACTGGAGAGCTGAGGAGTGGCTCTTTCCAACCCCAGGGGGTTCTCTGGCATCTAGGATTCTTTCCCTCCCCCAGGAAAAGGGGACCTGTTGTTTTATTTTCTTGGAGATGGTGAGGGTGGTACAGACTGAAAGCATTTATGGATGGAGTCAAGGGGTGTAGCACTTATTATTAGGTGGTCTGGGGGCAAAGGGGTGACAAGGCTTCTAGAGGGGACACCACCCAGAGCTCTGGCCCAAGCACCCTCAGAACTGCTCTCCGAGACTGAGAGACTGAGTTAGATACTAAAAAAGCAAATTGTTCTTTTAGGTTCTCCACCCACCTACCCCCAACCCCCACCCTGGAGGAGTTGCCGCTTTGGAGCTGTAAACAATGAGCTATTTTTTCCTCGCCTTAGAAAATCTGAGTGTCCCTTTCCTATACCATCCCTGGGAGTTCTGTTTAGGTGCAGGTTCCATATATTCAAAACCAGCTGACGTCATAGCCTCAGAAAGTGAACAGCTTCTTGTCCCGCTGCCGTCTGGGCTCCAGATTGCACATTCCTTAGTGTTAAATAACCTCCTAGAGCCCGGATCCCTGGATAAATACCAATGGGTTTCTCTCAGTCATTCTCAGCCCACCCCCTCTCGCACACACTCAACCAACGCCAGCAGAAGGCATTGCACAGGACAGGCTCCCAGCTGAGATCACCGGGGGCGGCCTTTTGGGGGCGCAGCACTTTCAGGCCAGAAGCAACCCTCACTTGGACTCGGGCCCCCGGGGGCCTCATCTCCACGACTGTCACGCCGTGCCCACCACTGCAGGGTGGCGGGCGAGATGGCAGGGCCCTTGGGCTCCCTGGCGGCTATGGTGGGTGCCTGGCCCAGGGGGGTGGGCTTAAGAAAGCTGACCTTGCTCTGGTCAAGGCCCGTGGGCGGGCCAGGCTACGGCCTGTAGATCTTAATGACGTCCTTGATGGGCCGCCGGCAGATGGGGCAGCAGGCCCGGGCCTGCCTCTTGAGGCGCAGGCCGCAGCCGTGGCACAGGCACATGTGTCCGCACGTGTAGATGACCGTGTCCACCTCGCCGTCGAAGCACACTGTGCACTCGCTGTTCTTGCTGCCCGCCAGCTCGGGCGGGGAGAACACGGGCGACACGGGCGGGCTCAGCGGGGAGCTGGGTGCCGTCACTGCGAAAGGGAGGGCAGGCAGACCTCAACTCGTGGTTCCCAGGGGGGCTCTGCCGGGCAACCCCGGGAGGGCAGAGCCTCTGCAGCAGAACCCATGGGGGGACAACTCTGGGAGACACGGATTTCAGTTTTCCTTCCGGGTTTTGCCCCCTTTCCTATGCTCCTCCCCCAAGCAGCAAGCACCGTTATCACCCTTTGGAACGCCGCATCCAGATGTTCCTCCTCCCTCCAGGAGAGGGCGCGGGGGTGGGGGCAAGGTCGGGGAGGGCTGACAGCCTCCAGTGCAGCCCATTTCCCTGCACCCCCCAGGCTCCACACGTCCTTACCCAGGGATGACTCGGATGCTGAGGAGGACTGGTTGACACTGAAGGCCATGTCGGAGTCGCTGTCGTCCTGGGAGCCACTGAGGGACCCTGACGGGGATGTGGTTGCAGGGCTGGACTGCAGGGTTCCTGAGACCAAAGAGACTCCATCAGAGACATGCGAGGTGGGCTCTGCTCTGCTGGTCCCTGGCTCTTCACTGCTTTGCACCTTCACTTCCTCATGGATCTAATGGAGGACAAGAGCTACTGCGTAGGATTCTGCTAAGAACTGATGGCATCGTACAAGTGGGGTAGACATTTGGTCTGTGTCGGCCTGACATTCTTGTTTCAGAAACAGCACTGGAATTTTGTTGGAGGTACTACTTCACCCTCATGCACACGATCCAGGCCAAGACAATAAGAAAGAACTACCCTTGGTCTCAATGGTGGTTCAGGGAAAGTAAAAGTGAAAGTCGATCAGCCATGTCTGACTCTTTGCGACCCCATGGACTATAGCCTGCCAGGTTTCTCTGTCCATGGAATTCTCCAGGCCAGATTACTGGAGTGAGTTGCTGTTCCCTTTTCTAGGGAATCTTCTCAACTCAGGGATCGAACCAGATCTCCCGCATTACAGGTGGATTCTTCATCATCTGAGCCACTAGGGAAGCCCAGGAATACTAGAGTAGGTAGCCTATCCCTTCTCCAGCAGATCTTCCCGACCTGGGAATTGAACCAGGGTCCCCTGGAGAAGGAAATGGCAACCCATTCTAGTATTCTTGCCTGAAGAATCCCATGGACAGAGGAGCCTGGCGGGCTACAGTCCATGGGGTTGCAAAGGGTCGGTCATGACCGAGCGACTTCAGTTTCACTTTCACTTTCTCCAGCATTGCAGGCGGATTCTTTACCAGTGAAGTGCACCTAAGTCAAGCAAGGCCTGCAAGCCCAAATTCTGTGATTTTCACTAGCACCACTAGGAAAGAAGGGACCCATTCCATCGGCCTGGTGCTGTAGGGTGTGCCTGAGAGTGAAGCCAACACAGAGGAAAGTAGAGCTTTGAGATGGAAAGAGAAGTAGAATCCTGATGACATACTTTCAACACCTAGATCCAGCTGTTCCTGAATCCATCCAATACACTCCCAGACTTCTATGGTATGTGGGTACTCCCCAAATGCCTTTTGCTTAGGGCACTGTGAGTGGGGTTTTGTTACTTGCAACTAGAAGACTCCTGACTAGTGTTCAACATGGATGGGTTTTCTTCCCTGAACTGTTGGTTCAGGAAATGATGGTTATTTCTGATGTGAAGAGACACGACCCGTCCTGTGCCCTACTAGAGGACTGATGGACAGATTACAGCACCAGGGCTGCTGTCAGATAGGGATCAGGAGTGCAAGTCTCTGGCCTCCAAATGCTGTTCTATCTTCTCCTCCTGCCTACTCAAAGGCTCATCCTGGTTCTCCTATGGGTGCTGGGGAGGCGGAGAAGGACTCTAGGCTTAGTTCTTGCAAAGCCCCAGTGGGAACTCGGGCAACTTAGTTCAGGCTGAAATGATGACTATGTCTGATGGTCCCTTAAACAAACCCAAACCAACCAAATGACAACCACTGCCACCCTGTTCCTCCTCTGTCCTCAACTAAACAGCAAGTCACTGTCATTACTAATGCTACTTACTAAACATGCTGCATGTGGCAGGCACCTGCTAAAAGCATTGTATGCACCTCATCATTTCATCCTCACAGCCACACCATGCAGGTCATCGCTCCCTTTCTACACTGAATGCATCTTCATGGATAATGATACTGGTTTTACAGGGGTATCAGGAGGATAAAACTGAATGACGTGACATATGAAGCATTCATTGTTTCTGTCATTGTTTGGACTTCCTAAAACTCAAAAACAGAGCTGTGCTCTCTGGAAGCCTTCCCTGACCACCAGCCCGGCTCCACCAAGCTGGAGAGAAGAGAAGCCCCTCTGCTGTAGCGAACATCACACCGTGCAAATCTCCATCTGGGTGCCCGAGAGGATTCGAGGAGGTCCAAGGTCTGTATCCAGTCCTCTGCCCTGCCCATCTTGGGAGCTCACGGATTGACCCATAGCTGGATGCGGGGTGCACTCCGTGTTTATGTGTGGCATGAATGAATGCAAAAATCAATCTCAAAACGTGGTGGTTCAAGCCTGCATCCTATTTTCTGTGGATGATGTTATTCTCATTTTCCTCTTTTAAATGTAGCTGTATTTTCTTTATCTCTGGCACGTAATATACTCTATATAATGTGAAAACATGCATATAATAAAGTATAATAATGGGGGGAAAAATTCCTAACACCAGCGGGTTACTTGGGTTGGTATGGACAGGGTGTGGTCCAGGGATGGGCATCCCCGGGGCCCTGGTTAAAAATGCATCTTCTGGGGGCCCACCCCTACTGAATCGGAAACTAAGTGGAGGCCAGACGGTTCTGCTGCGTGCTCAGGTCTGGGGGACTGCTGGCTGGGTTTCAGCGGCTGCTGGAGCTGACACCTATCCAGCAGTGCCAGGTTTCCCGGGGCGAGCCCCGCGCACGCGCAGTCGGGGGACTCACCGAGGAGGCGCAGCTGGCCGGCGGCGCCGCCGCGCACGGCGAAGAAAGCCCAGAGCGCCTGCGTGGTGTCGACGCACAGCAGGCGGCCGCGCGGGCGCCCGTTGACGCCCAGGAGCACGTCGCCGCCGGGCCGCAGCGTGAAGCTGAGCGCGTCGCCGCCGCTCGGCACCGGCCCGGCGCGCGCCACTACCCAGTACTCCTTGCGGTCGATGAGCGCGTCGGGATCCGCGGGCAGCTCGGCAGGCCGGAGCCCGCCCGGATCGCACGACGTGATGCCGAAGGCCAGCGCGCCGGGCGCCGCCAGCCCCGGGCGGCCCACTTCCACGAAGAGGCTCTCGCCGGGCCGCAGTGGGCGCTCGGAGAAGACGAGGGTGCGGCCGCCGTCGGGGCGCGGCGCGCAGGCCACCTTGCGGTCGAGCGACAGGCTCACGTCGGGCCCGCGCGTCGCGTGGAAGCGCAGGTCGGCCTCGAGCAGCGCCGGCGACGACGAGGGCCGCTGGCGCTCGCGGGGCCCGCACGGGATGGCGGCGGCCGCGTGGTCGGCGGGGGGCGGGCCTGGGGCGCGGCCCAGGGCCAGGTGGCCCAGCTTGGCCACCACCTGGTTGTTCTCGAGCTCGTTGTTGTCGAAGTTGGCCGCGTCGTGGCTGCTGGGAGGCAGGCAGGCGCTGAAGCGGGCCTGGCCGAGGCGCGCGGGCGTCAGCGTGTCGGCGAACCCGCTCTCTGCGCGAGGAGGGCAGAAGAAGGGCGGTGAGCGCGAGGGGAGCAAGGCAGGCCGTTACCTCCCCGCGCCCCACCCCACCCGGCCCGCCCTTTATTTTTCTGATTCCTTCCTGGGTTTATTTAAGGTCTCCCGGTGCGTAGAACTGGATTAAGCATCGCTCCGAGCGCTCTGGCATAATCGTATCTTTGGGATGTTCCGACTAGGCCCTTCCTCCCTTCTTCCTCCTCTTCCTCGCATCCCTCCATCCTTTCCCTCGTCTACTTTCCCCCTTTGCACCTTCTTCCTCCTCCCCCCACCCGAGGATTTTGAAGATTTAAAGGGCGTTTCAGAATCTTGACTCTGCCTCCCCCAACCAGTACATCAGCGCCAAGGGAAGGAGCAAATCCTTGAGTTTGTGGCCTTCCTTTGTGACAGGGTGTTACTTTAAGCTCCTTTTCACAGATCATTTCGTCTCCTGCTACCTGTGAGGTGTGTACAGTTACCACCCACCATCCAGCAGAGAAGGAGCGGCGGCACATGGCCTAGGGAACATGACCACGGTCGCCCAGCAACTAGGTGACAAAGTCAGGCCTGGACCCCGGGGCTGCCAGGTTCCATGCTGCCTCTGAAAGGCGGCCCGCCCTCCTCACTGCTGTGTGTGTCTGCAGCAGGGAGCACAATACCTGGGTGCTATTCGAACTTTTAATGTGTAAGGTTTCTGCAAGAAAGGGACTCATTTTATAGAACAGGAAACCAACGGGGAGTTTTTTGAAAGTCACAGTGATGAAAATATTTTCTGAGTAACTTAGTAATATGAAAAAATGCTCTTGATCTATATTAAGTAAAAAAGCAAATAAAAATAGTGTTTGTCATCCAGTTAATACAGGTCTTCATGCTTTGGTAGATTACTTGTTGATCATCTCCCCACCGACACTGTGGGTCCCTGGAGGGCAGCGTCTGTGACAGTCTATTTACCACCAAGTCTCAGGGCTTAGCAGAGTGCTTGGCAGATGCCTTCATTATGATGTAGTATATTAGATGAGTAAGTGAATGAAGTCTCTGGAAGAGACTGACTGCCAGTCAATAACGGAGATATCAGGGAGAGAAAGAATTATTTTGAAATTGTTTTTGTGATAAAAAATATTCTTGTTAACAAGTAAATGAAGCAAGAAAAACTATTTCTCAAACTTTTAAAACTGGACCACTCCAGCTAAGATTTTCTTAGCATTCTGTCATTTATATCAAGGGAAAAAATGTTTCTTTCTCTTTAGTATTTCAAATATTATAACTGTGAACATGATTTTCAAAAAGCATGCCCGAACCCCTGGTGAGAGCCTCATATGTTATTCCCTACCCCGACTCCCTCCATCACGAACTCAGTGGACATGAGTTAGAGCAAACTCCGGGAGATGGTGACGGCCAGGAAAGCCCAGTGTGCTGCAGTCCCTGGGGTCGCAAGGAGTCGGACGTGACTGAGGGACTGAACAGCTCCCTCCATATACAGGGCAGAGATTGCAAACTGGCCATCCAAGTTCTGGTGGTGGTTCACAGACCTGTCTGGCTGGCCTACTGGTGTTCTTTCTTGGTTTTGTTTTCTTAACTTGTTAATTTTGAAAAAATAAATGCATACAATTGATTATACAAAACATAGATAATCATTGCTTTTTACCCAGATTCAACAGTTAGCATTCATGACCAATCTTGTTTCAATGATGCCCCCATCAGTTCTCCCTCCTATTATTATTTTGAAGTAAATCCTAGACGTGTCATTTTATCTTAAAAAATTTCAGTATGTCTATATCAAATTTAAAGACTTCTTGTCATATTGTGTGTGAGAATATGCTTTTTTCCCCAGTTTGTTTGAATGAAGATCCAAATAGAACCCACTCGTTGTCATTTGTCTCTTTTAAGCTATGGATGTCTCTTCTTTTTTCCCCTTCTGTTGGTTTGTTAAATAAGTCAACACTTTGTCTTTAAAAAAAATTTTTTTTTTTTTAATTAGTGGCTAGGACTTGTGAGTCAAGATATTTTACTTTAAACTGGATTTGCAGCCTCTTTTGGAAAATCAGTTCTGGTAACGCAAGGGTCTGAATTCCAGCATGTCACCAATGGGTAAAAGCTTGCTCCCGTTCCCCATGGCCCTAAGCTGGCCCCTTCACCCATCTCAGCTACTCGCTTGGGCTCTGTGAACATTTGAGTTTGTCTTGTATTAGAGGATGCTTCCCCATAACATGAGGGAAGAAGAATGATTTCAGTTTGGTCCTTAGAAAAAGTATATATGTGTGCATGTGTCTGTATCTATCTGTCTATACTACTATATGTGCAGAGGAAATCAAGGTCTAGAAAACATAAAATGTTAATGGTTATTATTTCTCAGGTACGTAAGGTTATGAGGAATTCAGATTTTTCTGTATTTTCCAACTTTTCTACAGTAAACATGTATGCTACAAAGTTTTATCAAAACCTCCGATATTTTTAAAAATCAAGTTTTCAATTAATATTTAACAATGTGGGGAAATGCCTGTGATACTGAACAACAAAGAATACTAAACTGTATGATTTGGTTCTAATTATGTGGGATGCATGTGTTCATGGGATGCATAGGAAGAAACGAAATACATAGAAATTTGAGGGTGATTGTCTCGGGTGGAAATTTGCTTCTTAAGTGTTTTCAGATTTTCTCACTTTTCTTTAATGAACATATATTGATTTTTCTGGGGCTTCCCTAGGGGCTGGTAAGAAAATCCACCTGTTAATGTAGGAGACATGGGTTCGATCCCTGGGTTGGGAAGATCCCCAGGAGAAGGAATTGGCAACCCAATCCAGTATTCTTGCCTGGGAAATCCCATGGACATCACAGTCACAAAAGAGGAGGACACGACTTAGTGACTAAAACCACAAAACAACTGATTTTGTAAAATCAGGGAAAAACAAGTAAGAGCAGACGAATACAAGCAGTTGTTTTGAAAAGGCATTTAAGACAAGGGGATGTTTTCGGGAGCCTCTTGGAGCAATGCATTTTCCCAGGGTTCCCTGCACCACAGGCATCCTGTGAGGCCGTGCCCAAAGCTCTTCCTCCTTGCCCCTAAGAGCACCACAGAAGAGCCCGTTCTTCAGTAAAGCACCCTAATTAAGGTCACGGCCTGGAGGTAGGTACACTTAGGTTCAAGTCTTGGCTTCAGCTCTTCCTGACTAGTGACTTGAGGTAAGTCACTTCACCTCTTGGAATCTCAACTTTCTCAGCTTAAAATGGAATAATGGTGATACCTGTCCTCCACACTCCTACCCATGTTGTTACAGAGATTAAATTAGATGCTTTTGTAGAGTCCAGCAAAGCATGGCACAAAGTAAGTGCTCAGAACATGTTAATTATCATTATTCCTTCAACATTTGTTAACAAAATGTATAGAGTGCTTGCCAGGTGCCAAGCAGTGTGCTGGACCCTGGGTGAAGAGAATGAGCTGGCACGGAGCTCCCACTCCAGTGGGAGGGACAGACGGTAATGAAGCATCTAACAGAAAACTAACTCTTCCGAACTGTGATGAGTGCCACCATCACAGGTGAGAGCTGCCACCTCACAATGCTCTGAAAAATGGGAACATGCCAGTAGGGGATTCGGAGACTCTGAGAGGCAAGGTGAGTTACTCCAAGCCCCACAGCCAGGCAGTGGCAGAACTGGTATTCTCTGAGTGTATCAAAGGTCAGAAGTGGGGCCTGAGAATGGGTCAGAACAGCCCTCTTGGAGCCAAGACAAAGCCTGAGGGAATGGTGGCTGGCGGGTGGAGCTTGAGCATTCCAGAAGAAAGAACAGCATGTGTGAAGTCTGAGACAGTGCAAGCTTGGTATTTTTCCAGGCTAGCATTAGAGTGTGTGATAGCACTTAACCTCGGACCTGGCACACAGTGGTCCCTCAGAAAGGCTGGGTCTCCTTGCTTTATACAGGGAGCCAATTGTTGCTGAGTGAGACAGGCCCAAGATGGCAGAGTGCTGGCTTACGCCTGACGCTTGAGAATCTACCTATGAAAGATTCTCTAGAGAATCAGACAGGTGGCTACAGGGAGAAATCCAGCCGCATCAAGAGACCACCAAGGAAGCTTATCAAAACTGCCTGGCTCTAACCTGTGACTCGACTCCAAACCCACTCTCTGGACCTGGTGAAAGTATGTACAGCCATTTACTTGAGCATCAGTCAGAAGCAACTCCATGCATTCATCCTTAGCAGTCCTTACCACTATGCCATGCCGGCACATTTCACAGTGGGAGAACACTGGCTTTTCGAGGTAGAGTGTTACTCAAGGTCACCTAGCCAAGGGTGACAGAAATGGGATTCCATCTCAGGCTATGTGACTCGTAAGCCAGGCTCCTTATGACTAGGAACACTGCCCCCCAAATGGAGCTAGCCTTATTGTTCTTTGAGCTGCCCAGCACAGGGACTCAGTCCCAGGCCAAGTGGAGCTGTGGTCCGCAGGGGACCCGATTTCCCTGAGGAAGGGTCCAGTAAGCAGCCCCTCCCTCCACGGTCGTCCACCAAGCACCCCCACACAGCAGTCCCAGGTGGGGCAGATGGAGGCTGGATTAGCTGGGATGGTGCCCTGACTTCCCACTCTGGGCCGCCTCCAGGCCTGCGTCTGGTCTGCGATGGAGGTCAGTTCCTCCCCTTCTTCCTGGCTTTCTCAGGTCAACCATGTCTGGGCCTGGCAGTAAAGCAGAATTTATGCCACAAGAGAAACCACCTTTCTGTGAAGATGAAAAAGAGGACTGGAAGAAGCGGAGACAAGGGGCCATCCCTCAGCCACTTCAGCATCTCAGGACTGCCGTGGGGTGCGTCCTGGAGGCAGAAGTGACAGAACATTCTGACAGAATGGATGCCGGGTGAGAAATCAAGCATGACTCTTGAATTTTGGACTAGCTCACCAAGTGGGTGGTGCCATCCACTGTGAGGGCTGTCTGAATGTGTTCCGTGTGGGGAGCCTCTTCAGACGCCAGGAGGAGATGTGAGTAGGCAGGGTAAGTCCGGAGT